GAACAGGGGTGCACTGCAGGACTACTGCACTAGTGCATGTTTGTAATAATAATACTGGAGGATATTCTGCAAGGTCTTATGGACAGATGAACATTGTCTATCCAGCACCTCTGCTATATGCTGGTGCTATCCCTGAAGGTTTGAAGCTTTTGTTTTCTATGAACTGAAGTGCAACCTCTTGTACTGCTTCTACAGAAACAGGTTTTTTTCTCTTCTGGGATGAAGACATATTGGACCTCATAGAATCCTATTTAAAATCCGAAATTCCATAGACAAGCTACTGCTGAATTACTGCAACAAGAACAATGAAAACAAAGCCTTCACTAATGTTTCTATGTTTTATAACAGCTACTGCATGACATCGAAAAGATTTACGTTAAATTTATCATTTTTGTAAGCAACAAGCACATTGAAAACAAAGCCTCTGTAAATGTTTCTAGGTATTATAACAACTGCTGCAAGACATCGAAAAGATTTAAGTTTATACTACAGGTTTTCAAAGCAAAAAGCCCTCTGGTGACACTATTTGTAACTATTTTTTTCGGTGAAAGACATTTGCATCCATTCATTAAGTCTGCCACAAAATTTCATAATTTTCTGATCACTAGTTTCACTTATAGGCAACTTTAAAATAGGGTTCTTTAATTAAAGACTCTTTGTCTTTAAGCCTTAACATTTACAGCTGTTAACACTTAGCTGAAAATATGCTCAAATTTAAATTTCTTATGCATTTAAGCTCTCATTTAGTTTAAGTAGTAATCTGCCAATTAAATTGTTTAAATAACTATAGTTGCTAACAAAGTGACCCATATTTAAAAGTCCAACATATATTTCTAATATGTAACAAAACTTCTCTTAACCCTTTTACAGGCGGTGGTAAATATCTTACCACTAAGCAATTTGTTTTCTAGCAGCATACGGAAAATTATTTACCAGCGCCCGATACCAGGAATTTTCCTCTGGAACCAGAGCTTCATATTTTCTGTAACAGATGGCTGTTAGAGGCCACGTAAACCGCAACATTTCTGCATTCATCCAGTTTTCAAGCAAAATGGAGAGGGTAAGCACGTACTCTTTTCTTATTTTTTTGTGTAATGATATATAAAAATACGTTAAAAGCTATATATTCATATATTTTGTATCTTAAAGGTTTGATAGCTAAATTGTATTAGGCATTTAAAAAATTATAGAGAAATATTTTGTTTTATACATATTTGAATTTGGTGGTAAATTGTATTAGGCATTATTTAAAAAATTATAGAGAAATATTTTGTTTTATACATATTTGAATTTGGTGGTAAATTATTTACCACGGCACGCTTAGTGATTTTAGAGGCGGTAAATAATTTACCACTGCCTGATCGAAACACAGTTTTACTAATATGTTTCGCTTTAGAAATACCATTTTGTTTGGCATGGTACTTGATTTCTTTGTATATCTAATACTTTTATATTAGCATTTCAATAATTAATTATTTCTAATGTTAATTATTATAAATATTATGGAAAATATTTTAGCGTTTCTTTACGATTACATAAATATTTATGTATTTAGAAATTAGAATTAAAATATTACTTTAGAATGCTATAAAAGGTAATATTTTGATAAGTATGTTCAAGAGATTTCAAAACATAAGTAACTAATTAAATGTAATGAATATTATTTTAGGTAAACGCATTGAAGAAAAAGAAAAAAAATTAATCACCGAGGAAGCTGTAGAGCATAATTTTGCACTGCCTTCAGATCCTGAAGATTCCAAAAAAGGACTCCCTCACGCAAGAACTGCAGGCTTTTTGGGAAATCATAATTATGAAGGGGATCAATAAATTACCTTAGATTTGTACTGGTCTTCTGACTCTTTTTTTCAATAATCAAGAAATCTCGTCAATTATGCCAGCAAAGAGATTAAAAAAATACCCTTTCAAATTTGCATATCAATGGCAATCAAAAGGCTGTCCCTTGAAATGAGCCAGAATTTGACAAATTACAGTAAATGCGTTCTTTGATCACCCATTTAGATAAAAATTCAAGAAAAATATTCAGACTTCAATCTATTGATGAAAAAAAAAAATGACTTCAATCTATTGTAAAAACAGTAAAATTCAAAGGAAGGTCCACAATGAAGCAATATATGCCAGGGAAGCCTGTAAAAAGAGTTTATAAGATTTGGGCTAGATCAAACGCATCAATTGGTTACCTATATCAGTCTGAAGTTTACACTAGGAAAAAGACTTGAATTTAGGTTGAGAAGTAGCTCGCAGCCTAATTGGAGGCTTCTCTAGTAAAAAACGAAAACTGCAATCAAACTGGGTATCAGCGAAAAAAAGGAAAAATGCTATTCCAAGGGGAAATCCGAAACAACTAATGTTAGAACACACATGCCAGTCAGAGGAGAAAGTTACAGAAGGTGCAAATATTGCAGCACAAAAGTAAATCAGAAACGTACCAAGGTGTGTTTTGATGTCAACATGTCATGTACCATTCTGTGCTGCTTCCATGTTATAAATAAAAATAAAAATTAAAATCAGTAGAAGTAGTGCATTTGGTTATATTTATATCTGTAATTTTATATCATGAATTTTATATTAATCATCGATTTTATATTATATGTATATTTAAATAATCAAGAATAAATAGTTTTCATCAAAAATACATGTTTATTTGTGATATTTTTGTAATTATGATTTTTTACTTTTGCACAACTCAGTAAAATGCCATTGCTTATACCGGGCTGTGGTAAATATGTTACCACCCCTATTATAAACAACAACAACAACAACAGAAGTCCAAAAATAGTATTTTTGGTCATAAACGAGCTACTTTTCCCTAATAGTTGAATAAAATATGAATTTTGAAAATAAATGGCCTGCGCCCGATAAAGGGTTAAGCAGTGCTCTTCAAGCTGTGTTTTGGAGAACCCCTGGGTTCCATAAGTCAAAACCCAGGGTTCAGCTGGACAAAAGAAAATTTTAAAGCACTCACAGTAGCTGGCTGCAGTTTTATTAACTGAAAAAGTAAAAACAAACATTTAGTTATCTTTGAAATGCAAGTACACCCCAATCATAAATATAATGCAAGGGTAGGTGACACCTGCAGCTCGAGTTAATGCTATTAATGAGTAAATTACATTAATTTTGTTTTGAAATAATTTATTCAAAATTTAGCAGTTTTCTTAAAGACTTTACATAAAATATGTACAACATATTGATTTACATTAAACATTATTTTAAGATATGTTTTTATAAAGGTGGAACGAAGTTCCCCTGCGCCAAAATTTTATAGTTCTAAGTGTTCTGTGAGTCGACATATTTTGAAGATCACTGCGTTAGAGGACCATCTATGGCTCCAAGTAATTTTGATCTTTTATGAAAGCAAACATGACAAATGCTCATTTATATTCATCAGAAATACTGGCCATTTTCAGGGATGGCTGATACAGGAAATTTCACTGCTCAAAAAAAAATATTTTGCAAGGCCTGAAATTCTAATACCATTTTAATTCCTTACACTTAGAGAAATTGCTTTCTACTAATATATACAGTCATCGTAGAAAATGAAATCTAACAAAGTTAATCAAATCAGATTTGCCCAGTTGTTAAAATATAACTGATGTATCTCCAAAATCCTCAAATCAAAAGTTTTATGGAATACGAGGTGTGACCAAAAAAAAACTAGACTAAATGTGTAGCTTGAAAACAGAGTGAAGCTGGCAACAACTGTTTTCTTGACGTCATGCCACACACCTCCTCTATCCATGCAACCAGTTTTGACTTTACATAGATAAAAAAAAAAAAAAAATATTTATGTAATGACGTGGCGTCATTGAGTGAACACATGCAATTGCATTCTACTGGAAAAATGTCTAACGTAAAAACCGAATAACGAATCAACATCAAGTTTCTAGTGAAACTTAAGAAATCAGCCACGGAAGAAACATTTCAAATATTAACCAAGGCTTATGGAGATGAAACTTTGTCTCATGCATGTGTGTTTGAATGGCATAAGTGGTTTTTAGGGAGAAGGAACAGTGTGGAAGATGAACTTGCTGGGTGCCAAATGAGGCCTCCAGCACATTCATCATGATTGAATGGGTTCCCAGTGGTCAGCCTGTTAATCAATACTACTACATTGAAGTACTAAAAAGACTTCATGATAAAATTAGTAAATAAAAGGCCACAGTTTTGGAGTAATGGATGGCTGTTGCACGAGCACAATGCACCCACTCGCACGGTCCTATCTGTCAAGCAGTTTCTGACCAGCAAAGACATGACTGTGATGAGGCATCCTCCTTATTCACCTGATTTGGCTCCATGCAACTTTTTTTTGTTTCCTAAAGTTAAATCTTACTTAAAGCGAACCCATTTTACCTCAGCTGAAGAAGTTCAGGCAAAAATGGAGAATCTCCTGAAGGGCCTTCAAAAAACCTCGTTTCAGAACTGTTACCAGCAATGACAGCACCGAATGCACAAGTGTGTGAATGCTCACGGGAACTACTTTGAAGGTGATAATGTCAGGATGAACCGATTCTGTAAGTACAATGATTTGTTGGGCCAGTCTCTCTCTTTTTTTTTTTTTTCCGTGTCACACCTTGTATGTTTAAAATGACCTCCATTATTTTTCATGTGCAGATCCAAGTAATGCTGCCATTCTGATATTCAGTTGATGATGACAGACTTAACTTTCCTTCACTTTCAAGCAGTGGCTCAGGTTTTTGTGGATTAGTTATATCAAAAAACAAATATTTTTTTGAAAAGAAAGTGGACTGTTTTTATAACTCATCTCACAAAAATCACTGCTGTTTCACAGAATGGCCATTGTCCTCAAAGCAGATGTAAATGTAAGGGTTTAATATGATTTCAGATTTTGAGGACATGCTGCATGTAATTCAAAGAAACGTTATGTACACTTATTTTGTTTATTATGTCATTGATAGATGCTAAGAACTTCATGATATTTATATAAACTAAAGTGCCATCAATCATTTATAATTATAAACATGTTCAGAAATTAAAAAAAATATTTTCATATTTTATTAACAGACTGAGTGCTGGAAAAATAAATTTAGATAATACAATATGTGCTTTTGTTCATTAGGAGTCAGGGCGTAGAACAGCACTCCATTTTTGCAAAACAATTTTTAAAGGACGATTATACGGCAGTTGTAAGCAGTGAAAAAATAATTTACCAAGGCGTTCAGGGTGAACATGTAAACAACTGCTTGAAAGAGCTACTTCTACACACATAGCAAATCTATCTAATGATGTATCCAGTCTATCCTTAGAAATGTAACTCATTTTTTTCAGAGTTTCAGCAATAACAATAATGCTTGTAGCAGAAACAGCTTCACACCAAGAAGGATCTCTCGAAGCAGCAGACTTTGTCATACACTGAAGTAAAGCTAACAATAATGATGAAAATGTTTTATTACTGCTGTCGCAACTTCCAGCACAATCAGAGTACTCTTTGTACAAAGGAGACAATATGCACCAAAACATTAGTCCAGGAATAGGTGTCTGAGGACCAGGAAAATTAAAACTACTTGGAATACTTAATTTAAAAGGTGAGAAGCAAAGCATTGGCACACTATTTATCCATTCTAAAATTATGTTGATAATATGATCAGGAGGACAGCTAGTGAGATACATATTTGTAATTGCTGATATTAAGCTAGCACAAAATACTGGTGATATGACAGGTAAATTCTTCATCCTCTCACTAGGTGCTGACGGTTTTATATGCTCACGAACTACTGCTTTGGCTATAAATGCAGAATAATCAGATACACAGGTGCAAAGCTGCATCCATGTTCCTATGTAACTTAAAACATTACCATTCTCAGTAGCAATAGCTAGGGATAATAATTTCCCTAAAACGGGTAACCTGTTATCAAGAAGCGAAGAACCAAACGGGAAAAGAAACTGAAAAGTAGCCATTTTCTGGTCATTTTCAGGTTGTCTAAAATACCAAGCTATCCTCTCTACAATCTGAAGCTCCTTAATGGGTGGCAGTTTTTGATTCCTCTTGTTTCCCCACTTATCAATTTCGAAAAAAACGAATTCTTCAGATAATTCTTTCATTAATGAAAGTTGTTGAGATGAACAATCAGGAAGCCATAATTTCTGTATGTGTCTTAGTGCTTCTGGAACAACATTAGGGAAATCCATTTTCCTCAAATAACACTTTACATCACCCATACTTATGTGTAATTCTACCCGTTTCGGGAATTTTAAGTAGAAAGATAAACTACAAAACCATAAACAACAACATGACGTTAAACATAGACCTGATCCATTTTGCAGGGTTGCAATGGAATACTTTCAAACGGTTACAACTACTTTTAGTTATAATTGAATTTTGCCTTCATATTACTCTTTCAAATAGCAATACACAAAAATTTTCTAAAATTTAAAAAGATGAGTGACTAGAACATTTATAACATTAGGGTACTTAATCCATTCAAAATCAACTGTCTTTTACTAAATTCAAAAATATTGAAAAAGCTGATTTAGCTGCCTGCAAAACAAAAGAAACCTAAATTACGTAATGTTAGCCAAAATTATAAACCTGAAAAAAATTTCAAGACAAATTTTTAACGAAATTCAAAGTTTAATGTTATTAGCTTCTTATTATTTGCTAATCAATTTATAAACGCGAAGCGAGAAGTTATAAAATATGGTAAACTTAGATATTTGATTTGGACCAATAGAAAAGCAAAATGCCAGGGATTACATCTACGGATAATGTCACAGTTGTGTACAGCGCGAGAGTACTGTTGAGTGAGAGTGATATTTGCGAGCGAAAAATGTAATCGAGATATATTACTTATTCCGTGAGGATCAATCGAAGAATTATAATATATCTGCGTCATACATCATTCCTAAATTTTGCGGTCTAAAATGTTAAGCTATAAACCTCATAATGGGAATGAAATGCGCAATCGCAAGAAAGTGTCTCGGATGACGCTGTCAGAAGGTAAACAACAAAGTATATTCTATAAATTTAATTAAACGATGGGTTGGAGAATTTTATAGGAGTTTAATCCGATATCGGCGCATTTAAAAGATATTCATATTTTCGTAGCAATGTTCGAGAAAATTATTTATTGTATATAAAACGGCGTATTCTGTAGATCATACAGCTGAGTGGTTCTCAAACTTTTTTCCCGCGCGGGCCGTTTTAATCATTGCTAGACAATCATACCCCCCCTTCTTTTTCAAAACTCATAAAATATGTGTATATTTACGTAAATTTATATTATTTCTAATGCGTTTTATGAATTAAACAAGAGAATTAGAGAATATATTGATTAATGCCAAAATTTGAATAAATGTAGTTTATTACTATATTCATTAACTAAAACTAAATGCTTAACAGGTAAACAAAAAACTAACCGCATTTACCCCTGAAGCTAAATTAACCCTTCGGGTTGAAAGCCCATGATATCGCTACTAAAAAACTTATACTTTAACATTTGGAAAAGCATTACTTTAAATGAAAGGTTGTAATAAAGTAAAAAATATGTTTAATGTAAAGCATCACTGCCCTTCCCCTTCTGTTTTTTTTTTTTTTTTTTCTCAAATTTTGTATGTTACAGAAAATATATTTTCCTATTTGTAACTAGCTATTCCACTGCGAGGAGTTGTATTTTGGATGAAGGTATTGTTCATTCTTCTTAAACAGCTGTTTGATTTTTAGTGGATTTTAGTTTAAAAAATTACCTTTTTTCATTCAAGTGTCATTTTTCTCTTGTTAAATTTGTAATTTTTCTCTTATTAAAATAAAATTTGTCAATTTATATTTTAATAAGAGAACAATTTAATTATCTTGATAGTATTTATGTATGTTTCAATTTCAAATTAATTGTGAATAATGTAATGGGGATAAAAATAATTAAGCTACGATTTTATTAGATGCATATTGTATTTTTAATTTGAAGGCAAAGAAAAGAGCAGACATTGATAAATTGTGTATCTAAAGTTTTATAAAATAAAACTGTATATAGATATCTTTCAAAAATATTAAATTAAAAAGTTAAAGTAGTGCATTTACTGAGCCAAGGCTGTTTAGTGGCCAAGAGCTAAAATTACTGAACACTGGTAGTTTGCCCCATTCCAAATCCCCACAAACAGACTAGCAGCATAGATATTTTCAAGGTTTTCCCCATATTCCCAAGGTTTCATGACATGAATAATATCAACCAGTTTTCCTAATAAATTCGTAAAACTTTATAAAGACTTCAAAGACATCCCTTCCCTTAGGCAGGTAGCCCTCGCTTGCTTTGCCATAGTCAAACTATTCACTAAAAGAAAATATAAATATATGCATTGTAAAAAAATTTGGTTAATCTTTGGATTATGGTATTAATCATGACAAATATTAACTGGAAAATTGGGGAAAAACTCCAGAATCGCAAACTCCTTGCTGCGTTTTTCAGAATCGCAAATGCACAGTAACCATGTACACGTCGACTTATTTTTACTTAAAAAAAATCTCAGAATTGCACAAAAATGGCATTGTGCACACTCTTCACTTTATCCATCTACACTGCTTTTTTCTCATAAATTAGAAAAATTTCACGAAAATGCATGAAAATTTTGTGAATCTTTAAATTCGGTAAAAAGGACGTATATAAAATTACCTGATCGCGAAAAAGTATATACCCTTTCCAAGGATGAACATTTCCACGTATAACATAAATAAAATATCCTAAAACTTTTACCTCTAAATTATCTATTATAAACATCACCAACGAATTCATAACGCAAACATTAAAAATGGTTACAAATACTTAGTGTCAAAGATTTAAATTATTTCCATGCACGTTTACTTCCACTGAAACGTATACCAAATTGCTACAAACATATAATTCACAAAATAACTATCATTTAATTAAATTATAATTAAACCATGTACACATCGACTTATTTTTACTTAAAAAAACAATTAATCTTCCGATTATGATAACTTGGCAATTTTATGGAGAAAATTTGGCGATCAACCCTGCTACAGCAACCTGCTAGTTTTTTTTTTTTTTTTTTGGACGCCAGTTTGTTTTCACGAAGTAAAGGCATTTTTTTTTTTTTTTTTTTTTTTTACTCAACATTTTTTTCCAACAATATGCTAGCCGAATTACGCTTATGCTGGAACTTTTATGGAACAAAAGTGCTTAATCATGACAAAAATTAGGTGCAAAATTGGGAGAAAGTGCAGAATCGCCCACTGCTTGCAGCGTTTTTAAGAATTGCACATACAACACAGTATCCATGTACACGTCGACCTATTTTCACTTAAAAATAATCCCAGAATTACACAAAAATGGCATTGTGCACACTTTTGACTTTATCCATGTACACTCCTAAAGTCCTTAATCGCCTTACCAAAATGTTGCCAAACTACCTGTTACCATATTCCAAAGATTAGCAAAAAAAAAATCCCAGAATTGCACAAAAATGGCATTGCGCACACTCTTCGCTATATTCATGTACATTGCTTTTTTCTCATAAATTAGAAAAATTTCACAAAAATGCATGAAAATTTTGCGAATCTTTAAATTCGGTAAAAAGGACATCTATGAAATTACCTGATCGCGAAAAAGTATATACCTCTTCCAAGGATGAACGTTTGCACGCATAATATAAATAAAATATCCTAAAACTTTTACCTCTAAATTATCTATTATAAACGTCACCAACGAATTCATAACGCAAACATTAAAAATGGTTACAAGTACTTAGTGTCAAATATTTAAATTATTTCCATGCACGTTTACTTCCACTGAAACATATACCAAATTGCTACAAACATATAATTCAAAAATAACTATCATTTAATTAAAATATAATTAAACCATGTACACGTCGACTTATTTTTACTTAAAAAAACATTCCAGAATTGCACAAAAATGGCATTGCGCACACTCTTCTATATCCATGTATACTGCTTTTTTCTCATAAATTAGAAAAATTTCACGAAAATGCATGAAAATTTTGTGAATCTTTAAATTTGGTAAAAAGGACATGAAATTACCTGATCGCGAAAAAGTATATACCCTTTCCAAGGATGAACATTTGCACGTATAAAATAAATAAAATATCTAAAAACTTTTACCTCTAAATTATCTATTATAAACGTCACCAGCGAATTCATAACGCAAACATTAAAAATGGTTGCAAATACTTAGTGTCAAATATTTAAATTATTTCCAAAAATGCATGAAAATTTTGTGAATCTTTAAATTTGGTAAAAAGGACACGAAATTACCTGATCGCGAAAAAGTATATACCCTTTCCAAGGATGAACATTTGCACGTATAAAATAAATAAAATATCTAAAAACTTCTACCTCTAAATTATCTATTATAAACGTCACCAGCGAATTCATAACGCAAACATTAAAAATGGTTGCAAATACTTAGTGTCAAATATTTAAATTATTTCCATGCACGTTTACTTCCACTGAAATGTATACCAAATTGCTACAAACATATAATTCACAAAATAAATATCATTTAATTAAAATGTAATTAAATTAAAAAACACTACTTAAAATATAAATAAGCACATACATTAAATTAATAAAAATTAGCTTACAATCCTAATTACTTTAAACTAAATCATTGCTAATAACAATTTTCCAATAATACATTGTTAATTTATTTACTCCTTACATTTAGAACAATGCATAAAAATAATATCCTCAAATAATTAAAATACTAACTTACCTAATCTTCTTCAGAATCTTGATTACGTGGCGATAAACTTTTTTTATAAATAAAATCTTTTTTTTTCTGGGAATTTTTCCGCCATTTCCTCCTAAATAAAAAGCAAAATTCTCCTTAAAATGCTTCGGAAAACTTTTTAGCACCCCACATGCCCTCATCATATTCGTATGTGCGCCTGTTTCAGGATCTTTAACTGTAATAATGTAACATTTTCTTCATTTATTTAGGTTCACAGCAAGATGTTGAAAACCTTCATCCTCCAAACACACATATGACTTCCAGCAATCAGATATTATTCTACCAGGTAGAATATACTGCTTAATAAAACTTAATAAGCAATCTTTACTTCTATCTCGCACAACCTTAAAAAAAGACTTATTACTACCCCTTTCAATCCCACTAAATACCCATTTCGAATTCACTTTAGATAGGGCCATAGGATCAAAAAATTAACCAATACTGTTTCACACAACACAGAATGAAGCTAAATACAAAATTTCCAGATTTTTTCCAGATTTCCCCCTTTTTCCGATTAAAGAACTATAATTCGTCCATTAATGTCACATGACATATCTCATGATCTCTCATTTCCCTCACACAAAATAATGCGTAATCGGAACTGAGTACTTCTCACATTATTCCCAAAGTCCTAGGTAGTAACCTTTATTGCCTACCAAAATGTCGCCAAACTACCTGTTACCATATTCCAAAGATTAGCCAAATATTTAATTAATGTTTATCAGATATTTATAGAAGGAAGAAATTTGTTTCTGCTCTTGATTTTCATTTTTTATGTGGAAGCAAATGGTGACATATATTTAAACTTAAAACATACACACAGTTAAAGCCCTTCTATCCATAAAGCTCAAGAAATGCCAATTTAGATATGCCAAAATTCTGGATGATCGAGGGTATAACAAGTGCAGTTGATGGTAGGAAAAAATTATAAAAAAGAGTCATTTTATTTGTTATCAGCACGCATATCAAATGTTTACATATAAATTATGCAAAATTTTAAGAGGGGGGAAAAAGGGCATTTCAGGAAAATAAATAACAAAAGGATTTCTCAAAAAAGATAAGCATTTTAGTACCGCATTGGTACTACAGTCAAAAGTCGTTAATCCGAACTCGTCGGGACTTCGACGATTCCGGATTATAGATCATCAGTTTAAATCTGGTAAGATGGCATGCAGAAATTATACAATTAAAAATATGAAACGGTAATTTATGAAATAAAAAACAATTATGATGTAAAAGGTATCCAAATTTACAAAAAAAAAAAAAAAAAAAAGCTTAATATTTATTTGTTTATTTTATTAAACATTTCTTTCAATGTAAGTTGTTTAAGACTTTCTCTTTAATTCTATAAACAGACATAATTTCTTGTTCAGTTACAAAGTTCCGCTGTTCAAGTCCTATAATTGCTGTGTTGAGAATACAAACTAATTTGTCAATCGAAATTTTTTCGTTTTCAATAACCTCTATGTCACTTTCTTCACTATCGAAAGCAAATTATAATGACGAGGAATTTGATTTAAATCATATCAAAGACGAAGTACATCGAGATGAAATACTACATTTAGTAAGGAATTATAAGCCAAATAAAATACAAACATCTGCCCTGAAGATAAGGATAGTGCTGACAGATCAACTTCCAATTCATTGCACGCCGCCGCGTTCCCACCCCACCGCAGAGCAGCGTGAAATTGATAAACAGATTTCGGAATGGTTCGAGAAACAAAGCATATGCCTTTATCAATTTTTTGCAGCAATTCCGTTTTTTGTTTAATGGACTTCGAAACATACTTTCGCTTTTTAGATCCTTTACATATTAGTAAATATATATCAGAAATTCTATTTGACATAATCGAAAGTTCATGCTTACTTTTATAAAATTGCTCTAACAGTCTGCAAAAAATAATAAGCTGGATCCAATTCGAAGATTAAGGAACAACGCAATCTGCAACATTAACTGAATTAGATAATTTTAGCTTAGTTTATACTGTCCGTTATACATCAAACGCGCATGCGTAAATGTATTCAAAGCCATAAAGGTCTTACGCGTGTGCGTCAATGAGACACATGCGCAGAAAGTTTGTAGCTTTGAGGTCCGGATTATGGGTGTCCGAATTAACGACTTTTGACTGTATTCCGTTTTGAGGACCATAAAAAAATTGCAACAAAAATGTGTGCGCAAAAGCGCCAAATCTAGCAAATGCACGCTGATTTCAAATTGCGTAAGTTTAGATAGTTCTATATTTCTTAAGACGCCATTGAAATACTAGTTTAATTTTTAAATCCTTTTTTGATATCCTATGGATTTAACAATTTGGGAATTGCTCATGACAAAAGGTCTGCAGTAGAAATTTTTCAAAAAAAAAAAAAAAAAAAAAGGCTTTATTCATTATAGAAAATTATGTTTGAACTACCAACGAGATGAAATTATGCTTTAGTGATAGCTCGGTAACGAAATAGCGATGCAGGAATCCATTCAGTTATGTTTAGCCGTTTTTTATATAAATTATAATAATGATCTGAAATAGTTCTTTACTCTTATGCTTCCATTCAGTTATGTTTAGCCTTTTTTATATAAATTAGAATAATAAAAATTTATTATATGAAATTAACTTTTTGTATAAATTAAAACAATCTTTAGATAGTTATTTACTATTATACTTCTTTTCTTGCGTTAGGGTTGCCGCAATTATTTTTGACAGCATTCGCATCAACAATAGTTTAGCAATTTTTTATGGTCCTCAAAACGGAATAGTACCGCATTTTATTATCTATTATTTTATTATCTATCTTTTAAAGTTTGTTGATTGATTGCTGGTTTATAGAATTCTTAATGGGCTGACATTCTAAAAATGGCTGTTGCACATTAACTTAGAAATATTATTTACCAGTGAGTTTATGAATGTTCTTCAAAGTCGGCAGTGAATTCATGACTTTTCAGTAGGGGAGTGGATAGTCATAAAGAATCTGGATTTTTTTACAAATGTGTGACAAGTCACAATTTTTGAAAGCTTTTTATGTTAAATGAAGTAATGATGATGAACATTGTGTTGTAATCCATTCACTGTAAAAATTAAAGTCTTAAATTTTTTTCTTGCATAGCTGGCAGACTTTTACGCAAACGAATATCAGTATCTCGTCAGCTTCTGGCAGCCGGACAAGTATGGAAAAACAGTCTCCCGAGCCACGACTGTGATGTTGTTGTTACATTTCCTCAATCAACTACAGAAGAAACATTAGTTTGGTTTTTGACACAACTGAAAACAAATGTCCCCGAACTTATGGTTGAAGTCCGTCATCACAGACATACAAATGTATATGGATTTTATTTAACTACATCATATGAAAAGTAAGTTTAATCCTAGGTTCATAAATAATCATACATTAATTATTCTGTAATTGTTTTTATGAAATAATATTAATGTAAAGATATACTATATGTCTATAATATCATAATGAATTCATATAATGATAATTTGGGGGAAATATATTTCAGGATATTTTTGGCATTTAATGCCCTCCCAAGTAAAATGGCACCATTTTATTTGGGAAGGCATTAAATGTCCAAAGTATAATTAAATGGAAATTAAATGTCCAAAATATAATTAAAACATAAAAGTAATATCTCGATAAACTGCATTTTAAATCAAAATAAAAATGGAAATACCTGTAATCTAATCTGTGCAGTACAAAATGAAAATATCCACTTGCCTTATTTAGAAATTTCTGTGTCTTTGGTTTAATGTGTCGCAAACAGAATTTCTTAACAGCATCGAAAAACTGTTTAAAATTATCTCAAGTAGAATTTGTATACGGCCTTTGCCACATGCTAAATTCATGTTGAGCATGTTGCTTTGTGTTTCGTCAGTGTGTGTTTAAACTTTACTTTTGTACTTTGTAGCATATGGTATAACTTTTCTCCCACAATATTTCAGTTGAAGTTTTAACTTTTCCATCTCAAAAATATGTTTCTTTTCAGTTCGTTCATCTTCAGCAGCTTTATCTTCATGCAAACGTTTTTCAGCTGCTTGTTCAATAAATTTTCTTTCATCAGTTTTGCTGGTCATTACATTCTTTATAAATTCTTCTTCGTACTTTTCTGAGTTTGGGATTAAATCTTTGAAATGAATCACTTTTAAATTGTTTGAGACAGAAAGACGCAAACGAACTAACACTAGTCGATCTTTTTTCCTGGCTATTCCCAAAAGTGCTACATTATCATACTTTCAAATTCCATTGAAAATTTTGCTCTTTGTTATCTTCGGGTGAAGATGAAATCAAAACTTCACGCATTTTCAAAATAATCTTTCAAAATAAAGACTTCGCTGGTGGAAGTACTAACTAAAAACCTGGAAGAGAATATCAGTCAGTGCCTTAAGAGTCTTAAACACTGGTTGTTCTGAACATGATAAATCATTCAGGTTCAGCATTAAACTGCATTTTATAACCAAAATTGTCATAAATCTAAGTATTGTTACCTTCTTAAATATTTTATTCTTCTTTGAAACTAACATTACACTTAAGATATGCATGTTGGTATTATAATAGAAAATTTTACTTGTAGAATGAGTGCATTCACATTGCAAAAAGAAAGAATTGCCAGTCATGTAAATATCTAAAGTCAGAAGATAAAATATGCTTTGAACTCCTGTTCCATTGTTGACACTTATTTTTTCAATGTCTGTCCTCTTCAACATCTTTAAAGCATTGTTTATCCTTATATAATTTTTCAGTTACTGTTATTCTATTATTTTCCCTTTTAAAATTTTTTCTTAAATCTTTACTGTTGCCCAGTGGCATAGTGAGGGGGGGGGACAAGGGAGTGTATGATGCCCCGGGCACTGCTCGAAAGAAGGGCACCAAATGGTCTCCGAACAAGATTTTTATCATATCACTGTGTTTTTTTGGTTGGAGGCACCCAGGGCAAAGATATTTTCCCCCGGGTGCCAGTTATGCTCGCTACTCCACTGCTGTTGCCATATACATTTCTGAACTCTGTCATGCCATGACCACATGCTTGAAAGCTGTTGGATGGCGTGAATAATTTAATTATGCAGCACTATTTATGCCAAAAGCTGCTACACATTATTTTCTTCTTCAAGTCTACGATTATGTAGAAAGTTCTAAGGCTCAGCAATGATTTTTCAAAAATATTTTTTACTTGAGGATTAAATTCTTTTAAAAATTCCTCTGCTAAGGATATTCTCATTTAATCTTAAATATGCTATATAGTCAAAGATCTTGCGATGGAAATATTGTACATCGAGCTGAAAGCTAGTTCAGATTAGGGTTGGTTTCTTCTGAAAGAAACAATTTCTTTACAGGATAGTGGCAGAAATAAAACAATGATGCACCCATAGGGTTGCTAAAGAGAATAAATTTATTAATAGCAGTTTAACTGATTTGAAAATAAATTTTTATTATAGCTACAAAAAAATCTAAAGTAATTAAAATTAGTTTGGTATTGGTTTTTTTAATTTTTAATTGGAAATGTTTCTAGCATCCGTAATCATGTAGATTTAGGAATGTGGCTTTTAGAAACATTCAGGAACATGGCTAACAGTTTTTTTTTTTTTTTTTTTTTTTTTTTGTCATGATGCTTTGTGGTTTAAGGCGTAAAACTCACTAAGTCCATTTAAGAGGTTTTAAACCATAGCCAATCACTTCCACATGTGTAATGTGTAGCTGACTCAGCAAAACCTTCAACTAAATAACATTTCTTATTTGCCTCGCTATGATTAGTCAGTTCTCATACCAAGTTAACATGAAATTGAAAAAAGGTAATATCTTTAAACGAGTATTTGTAATGTACAAGGTCTGGTTGCCTAATAGTTGCCTAATAGTGGAATAAAGTTGCCTAATAGGTGGAAAAAAAAATGTCTGAAAGAAGCTTTACAGGCACCGATATTGATGAATCTTCTTAAGTCTTAGTGCAGTAGTAACTGCAGAGTCCTTTATACAGCAAAATCTGCTGAGCTTTTTCCTTGGACATACTTCTTTTCGGAAACTTTCTAGCAATCCACAGATATATAGGAATCAGTTCTCACTAATTTTTAAAGGTAACAATTACTCCTGTGATCTCTCATGGCACTCTGATTTCCAATCTTTCAAAATTTGCCATTAGCTCATTCTTGATACTCTCAACATAAATCATAAAGGAACAATCCACAAATCTTACAGTTTTTGAAACATTAGCATTTGGTGCTCAGTGATCATACCCTTGTCTAACTTGAAATAAATCAGAGCTTTTTGCCATCATGATTGATATTGAACTTCCATTCAGCCTCTATAAGGCTTAATATTTGCACAAATTTTGAACGAAAAGTGTGCTTTCTGTTATTGGATAATTGTACATGATGGTGGCTCTAATAATGACTTGATCATGTAAGTGAAGGGATCAGGACTTAACACATTTAGCTATTCAGATTTATATTAATTTCAGACTTTCAGGTCAGTGTGAACTGGCTATGTTTTTTATTTTATAAAATTTTCAACATTGTTGCATCAGTTTCTTCTATTTATAATAAAATTAATGTAAAATTCCTTACCTGCTGCATCTTCAGTGTTCACGACGCCAGGCTTCTAATAATCACGTTTTCAGTAAGAGTTTCTATTACAATGCTAGCAGGCCATCTTGTCTTTTAATTATTTATTGAAATAAAAAAGCTAATATACACTATTTACAAGGTAGGTGATAATTATTTTAAGACAGTACATTTTTAGTTCTGAGTCTTTACGCTCCTCAGAGCGGTTCCAATCTCGACTGCTTCTCGGAACTTAATTACAGCAAAAGTAAAGGAAGAGATGCCCGCCACCTAGTGGCAAGAATGTGACATCCTCCCACCTTTTGATTTTACCTCGATAAGATGGGAAAATCAAAACAAAAAATTTATCAATAATCAAACAAAAATTCAAGTACAACTTTCACAAATATGAAAAGTAACTAATGCTCTAAAATTAATACTTACAAAGAAGGATTACACATCTAAACATTTTCTGCATTACATTCATACCATATCCAGATAACATGTTCCAATTGACAACTGTTAGGACAATTAAATTTCTAAAATACTGAAAAGAAACAAAAATTAGTATAGCAATTTAAAAATATGTAAGAGGTTTTACAGTTTTACGTCCATATCTAGTTTGATAGTTCATATCACTGTCACACTTATCCGGCAGAGTTTTTTTATGTTCATGGTGAAGTCACTAAACAAGTTAGGTCTATCAAGTTCGAGAGGATAAATACGTTTCACAGGTCTTAGGAGTTCACCCGTTGCAGTTTTCACTTTGACAACACGTACTTCGTTGTCTTTCCCAGGATATAGTTCTACAACACGACCTATTGGCCAATCTATTCTCTTCTTGTTGTCGCTGCCGACAAACACCAAGTCATTTTTGTTGATAGTCCGAGTAGATCGTTTAGATGGTTTTTGCACTAGGATAGCTAAATATTCATCACGAAATCTTTTGCGGAAATGTTCTCTTAAGTTCTGCAAGAACTTGTATCTTTTTGTCAGATTAATGGTATCCAGGTAGTCTAAGTCAGGCACTCCGACGTCGTGCACATCTTGTAGAAACATTGAAGGAGTTAGTGCCGTAAGATCATTTGGATCTTCTGAAAGGTACGTAAGGGGTCTTGAGTTGATCACTGATTCGATATCACAAAGTATAGTCAACATTTCCTCATAAGAGACACAGGACTTGCCGAGAACATTTCTCAACATCTTCTTCACTGTTTGTACCAACCTCTCCCACCAACCGCCCCACCATGAAGCAGTTGGGGGATTAAACTTCCACTGTATTCTCATACTAGTTGAATGACATTCTATTTCTTTCCAATCTATCGATCTTAAAAGATTTTCAGTTCCAACGAAATTAGTGCCATTGTCGCTGTAAATAATACTTGGACGACCTCTTCTGGCAATAAATAAATCTCCTTAATCCCAAGATGAACGCATTTGTTGATAAACTTTCTATCAGTTCAAGATGTATCGCGCGATAGACCGCGCAAGTAAAGAGAGCAAGATCCATGCCTTTTTTCCTTTTCGTTAAATAAAGAGGACCGGCTACATCGACTCCGGTCACTTCAAACACCAGAGCATCTCGAACTCGATCTTCAGGAAGAGGTGCTGGAACAGTCTCTATATTCTTTGCGCTATATCTTCTACAGCGAACACACTTCATAAGAACTTTACGTACTGTTTTTCTTCCTCTCAGGACCCAGAATTTCTGTCGAATATTGGCTAGTACGAATTGCACACCAGCGTGGGATAGTCGCAAATGGTAATCTAAAATTAACCTATGAACTAAGTCATGATTTGAGGGCAATACAATTGGACAGAGAAA